CTTCCGATAAAGACGGCGGCACCAGCCAATCGGAGTTATTTCCGAGTGGAGGCGAATATTTGATGAATATATCACTTGGTAGTCCACCCATGAGCACCATTGGCATTATGGACACCGGAAGTGATCTCTCATGGACTCAATGCAAGCCTTGCAAACGTTGCTTCAAGCAACAAGGCCCTCTTTTTGACTCCCAAAACTCCCCAACATACAAGCCTTTTCCATGCAACGCCAAAGAATGTAAATACTTGGGAAAAGATGGTTTCTGTGATAAAAAGAAGCAACTTTGTGGCTACAACTATACATATGGGGACAACTCATTCACCGTAGGAAACCTTGCCCTGGAGACTTTCACCTTGTTTTCTTCACAAGGGAATCCCATATCCTTTCCGATGATCGCCTTTGGCTGCGGATTCAACAACGGAGGAATCTTTAGCGGAGTCGAATCGGGTATCATTGGACTTGGAAATGGACAATTGTCACTTGTTTCTCAAATGAGTTCTTCAATTAATGGAAAATTCTCTTATTGCTTGGTGCCCGTTTCTTCTCAATCTAAGCATTCAAGCAAAATGACATTTGGTGGTGCGGGTTTGCCTTCTGGTCATAGTACGGTCTCCACTCCTTTACTATTAAACGGTACGGAAAACTACTATTACCTTGCACTTGAAGGTATTAGTGTTGGAAAAAAGAGATCTGATATTAATAATTCTTTGGCAAGGAATTCTTCAAATGCTTTCAAGGGCAACATTATGATAGACTCTGGAGAGATTTGATATTAATAATTCTTCGGCAAGGAATTCTTCAAATGCTTTCAAGGGCAACATTATGATAGACTCTGGGACCATGTTGACTCAACTGCCTACAAAGTTATACGACAGTTTGGAACAAGAAATGAGACATTCAATTCATTTGGAATTGACCAAGGACCCGAATCAATTTTCGAATCTTTGTTACAAGACGAAATCGGATGACGTTGGTGCTCCCACCGTGGTTTTCCATTTTGACGGCGCGGATGTGACGCTGAAGACCTTCAACACGTTCCTTCGAGTGAGTGAAAACGTTCTGTGCCTCGCGTTTGCCCCGACCGATGATCTTCCTATCTATGGAAATGTGGCACAGATGGACTTCTTGGTGGACTACGACCTAAAAGAAAAGGTCTTGTCCTTTCAGCCAACTGATTGTGCCAGTTATTAATGTATTAGTTTATGAGTACGAAGTTGTTTTGCTAATGTTTTTTTGTCACCGAGAGAATTTGGCAGTTGCTTATGTTATGATTATGATCAGTAATTAATCATAGTTACCCAATTATTATTATTATTATTTTGTTTGAGAAGAAATGGATGCCTATTATAAAGATGAATTATAAGTATAATAGATCTTATGGAAAGGAGGGTTTTCCTCTTTACTAAAATTAGTTCATCATCTAAACTAAAATCTTGATAGGCCAATTGAGGAGCCTTATTACCTGGATGTTGGACATGACCAAAGCAAACACTTGGGAATAGAGACGTACGATAAACATCGAAAATCCTCTTATAGTTTGCCTAATTCGTTTTAAGTGGGAAACGTATGTATGGTGGAGTCAAGTGTGGAATTACTAGAACCTAAAACTCGATAACTGATAACGCATTTGTTTCTGCTAAGGCTAGAGGAAGGTCCACATCATGCACGAAGAATCGCTAAAGCTTCAACTTTGGTGAAGAGAGACATGCATGACAAGTTAATATATATTGAAAAAAAGAAATGACAAAATTAGGGTTCGTTTGGTACGAGGATTCAAACCAGAGTGATTCTAATTATAATTTTGAAACCAGAATCATGATTTATAATTTTAGATTCAAATTGTGATTCTAAAACCATGATTCAAAATCAGGGGTTTGAGTCACCTTGAATCAAGAGGAGAGGTGGTTTTAGAATCATGATTTGAGCTAATTTAAAACATCACATTAGATTCTGAATCGTGATTCAGAATCATCCAAACTAAACACTAATTCAGAATCATGATTCAAAATCACTGTAAACAAACATTGATTCTGAACCAGAATTCAGAATCATAATTCTAGATCCATCTACTAAACGCACCCTTAGTCTAATGGTAATTTTTTTTTTAAAAAAAAAAAAGTTTAAACCTTTATCTTCCATCCTATAGATTCCCAATTGGATAAGTGAATATTCTTAAAAACACAGTTTTTAAATGCAATAGTCTATGAGAAGAAGAGTTGCTTTTCTGTCGAAGAGGTCTTCTCTACATCCTCAAGATCACTTGAATGGGCTATAATCCGTGGAAACTTAGCCCAGTCATAAATGGGCCAAAGAAACCCGTAAGACAGGCTGAGAATTAAGCCATTTTCAAAGCTTTCTTGGGCTGAAGCTCGAGCTTTAGCCCACTCATGAATTAACGATAATGCTGTGAACTCGTGGCTGGAGAGAGCAGAGCAGAACAGTAGAGTAGAGACTGAAATCTCAATTGATGAAAAGGAAACAAAAAAGGAAAAAAAAAAATGGCAATAAAATCTTTGTTGTTGCATGCTTATTATAATCCCACATTCACTTCATGTTGTTTAAAACGGAGAAGTTTGTCCCAGAATTCAGGGTCCGACATTTTTAGCAAAAGAAGAGGAATAGTGACAACAATGGTGTCAATAGCCTCATCAATGGCTTTGAGTTTTGATGGGAAATCTGCGAGTGCATTGGACATGAGAATGGTAGCTCCGGAGCAGACGGTGGAAGAGGCGGAGAGCGGGGTAAGAGGGCATGCGCTTGGTCTGCTGGAAGTGAAAGGACTTATCGATTCGGAGTCCTGGGGTGATGCTCAGAAGTTTCTTAGGAAGAGCTCTTCGTATTTGAAGCGGGATCTGTACACCATTATCCAAGCTAGGCCTTCCAGTGAGAGGCCTCAGCTTAGGAAGCTCTATTTTGATCTCTTCAGCAATGTTACCAAAGTAAGTGCTTTTGCTTTCTCACTATCTATCTTTCTTTATGGCATTAAGTAGTAGTTTTAATGGAAAAACCGCAGCTAGATTATGCAGCAAGAGACAAGGATGCTTCTCGTGTGTTGCAGTGCTATGACAACATTGTGGTGGCTCTCAACGACATTTTGTCTAGAATTTGACTCGTTCCTTCTTCCACTAGGTATTCCTTTGCATCTTATGTTTAACGAGTAAAAACATACAAAATAGAATTTTATCAAGGGTTCCAAAAGTAATAGTACATATTTCCTAAAAAAATAAAAAAAATAAAAAGTAATGATGCATCTCTTAGAAATGATTTTGCGTGATTGAAACTTATGTCCCCAACATTTATTGCTAGTAGTTGCTTTGTTTCCTCATTGTTCATCATCTCTGATAATGTTGTTCTCTCAAAGGATAAATAGAGAAAACTCATCAAGGATTGTTCTACTTCCAAGGAGTGTTAGAAGCCAAACAACCTTCCCCTACATGACAAGTCACAAGTGTATCCAATATTGATGGAAATCAACCAAGTCACAATTAGCCAATGGAAAAGTGGACCATTGCACTTTGATGAGCATCTTCAGGCCAAAAAGGGCATTGATTAGTTCTTCTATGTATTCAAGAATGACAAAGAATTGAGTAATGGATTTGCTTTCTCCTACTTAAGAATGACAAAGAATTGAGTAATGGATTTGCTTTCTCCTACTTTTTTAATTTTTTCTTAAACTTAAAGTAATGTGATTTGAACTCTTCACCTTATGGTAGAGTCAGGTACGATATTACCATTAGACTATACATGCAGCCACCCTTTTCCCACTTTCTGGACAGGATTGATTTAACAAATGCTTTTGTTGAGAAACATATCAATAACAAAAAGTTTATCCATTCGTCAATTTGATTTTAAATTCGCACATTTGTTATCATTGCTCTCGATCCCTAGTATTTAAAATAAGCTCCAATGCATTATTTTTCACAAAAGTTTATACTATATGTGTTTAATATTAATCATAATCAATAGGAGGAATTAATAAACTAGTGCTTTTCCTTTTGGGTAAATGAATGAATCAGTGTTTGGACATATAGCAATAGTGCGTGTTTACTAAGGCAGAGTTTATCATACGTAAGGAAATGGCAAGTACTAATTTATGTCACATATCTTGTGACATCATGTCCCTGAAATATAAATTTGAAAATAAATAATAATAAAAAAAACTAAAGGTCTGTACAAAAGGGACAGTGAACTACCGCAAATCATTAATTGGCAAAGGCGGTTTGCTCTCCCTTGTCACTCAGCTATCTCAACCATAAACTTTTTTCAGGTCAAGTCCAAAGACATACTTTTCTTGCAACGGAACCCTCATCCCCCACAAAATTAGTTCTCGCTAAACGTTGTTATATTATGTATTCAGAATTAATCACGAAATGTTGTTATATTATGTATTCAGAATTAGTTCTCACTAGTTTCATGGAATATTAGAAATGAAAAATAATATTTATCTTGATGGGATAGAACACCATCACTTAGGTTGAAGAGTGAATATTTAGGCCCCATTCACTTCGCTGATTCGAGTTTAAAATTCGAGTTGAGATATGATTTTATGTGAGAGCTTTTTATTGTAATAAAAAAGTTAGATGTGATTATTTGTGAGAGCTTTTTACTGTAGAAAAGCTTGAATTCTAAACTCGAATCAGCGAAGTGAACGAGGCCTTAGTTTACGGAGCACTTTACATCATGCACGACGGTAAAACATATTTCCTTTTAAATTTTAATAAACAATTTTATTAATATAAAAGCAAAATATAATATTTATTAAATTTTAAAGATCATTTTTTTTTTTTAAGAAAACAAGCACTAAAACTAAAAGTTGAAGGACAAAACAAAAGACACAAGTTGCTGATTATAAACTCAACTAGCTAGTTAGACACTTATTTCTACTAAATCCTCCTTGCCAATATTTAACAAATATTACTCATCCGAGGCAGTATGTGTACGGCTACTACGGGAAGTGCCCGCGGCGGCTCCACCCTCCGAACCGTTGCAGGCGCGGCCGTCACGTCCACCACCGCGATCCTCCTCCCGTTTTCGCAGACCGCGCAAACTCTCCCCCTTCCAGCCGCTATTTGCTCCGCACCTTTAAGCTCCGCCGCCTCCACCACCTTCTCCCACCTGTCCTCTCCTCCATTGTACTTGCTCAAAACCCCCTTACTCTCATCCACCACGTACATCTCCTCCTCTTCAGTCGCCGCCGCCGGCCCGTTCCACCCCGCCACCATTCCCGCCGGCATCTCCTCCCACACGTCTCTCTCCACGTCGTAAACCGCCCCATCTTTCGCTGCATGCCCCTTCACGTTCACCATGCAAAACTTCCCTTTATACGTCACCATTTCAATGGCTTCCCTACTAAACCTACCGTCCCTGATACTCGCCTTCTTTTCCCACTTCCACACTTTCCCTTCTTCCATGTCCCACTTCTCCATCGACCGCGCCACGTCCCCTTTGTAACGGCACCCGATCCCGCTTGCCACGTAAACCGAACCACCGGCTGACCCGACTGCACACCAACGACGCGGCTCCAATACCGGAGGGCCGCGGAGCCATTGGCCGGTCGTGGGGAGGAATACTAACGGAGCGGAAAGCGCGGGGAGAAGGCGGTGGTCGGTGCCGGCTATGAGTACAAGGCCGTGACGGGAGACGGCGAGGGATTGGATAGGGAATTTCCGGGAGAGGAAAGAAGGGTGGTTGTGGAGGAAGTGGAGAGGCAAAGGAGGAGGAGGGAGGGGTTTCCATGAGTTGGAGAAGGGGTCTAGTGAGTACAACTCTATTGAATTTTGTTGGTGATCATGTTGGTTTTCATGATGATCATGATCATGATCATGATCAGGTAGTAGTGATGGGGTTGAGGAGAGAATGGCATAGAGAGAGAAGACAGGTGGGAAGTGAGGGGAGTAGATTAAGCGACGCCATGAGCGGCAAACAGAGTAGAGGTTTGAAGGGTTAGTTCTGGAGAGGCAAAGATGGGTAAGATGATTTGGTAAACCTTGCAATAGATGATCATGATCATCTGTATCACTTGATGAGTCTTGATCTGCATTCTTGGGCTTCTTTTCTTTTGGTTTGGATTCCATGCGTTGGATGGCTAGACTACTTAGTTTAGAAGTGCCTTCGTTGTCTCTTCTATGGTAGCAGATGCATATATTGCTGGCCAGCAGCTACTCCATGTCCATTTTTGTTAAAAGTCATGATGAAAAAAAGTACTGTTAGTTATCACTCATCTATATTTATTGGAAAATTAATTCTTTAGGAAAAGTTTCAAGTCCGACAACTAGAGCGTTACCAAAATGTAATTATCATTGTTCGTATATAATTATTATTGCTCGTATATATATATATATATGTGTGTGTGTGTGTGTGTGTGTGTGTAACTTTTTGTATTATGGTATAATACTCATGTTACGTGTGTTGGAATATTTCTAATAAAAGTTCATAATATGTAAGAATTATGTTCTACTGACATATGTACTTATTGATCCGGGTGCCGAACTTAAAATAATTTCTTAATTTTTTATAGTATCAGAAAAACCGGAATATTTCTAATAAAAGTTCATTATATGTAAGAATTATGTTCTACTGACATATGTACTTATTGATCTGGGTGCCGAACTTAAAATAATTTCTTAATTTTTTATAGTATCAGAAAAACATTTTATAGAAAACACTAAGTTTGATCACTGTTACATCATTAATTAAATCACATAGTTACAAATATAGTTTAATGGTAATTACATATCTGACTCCACCACAATCGTGAAGATTTCATGAAATCCAACATGATTACCAACATATGATGCACATTAATGAATGTGAATAGGGTTTTTATATTAAATTAAAGTTTAAGTATAATTTTGTTGAAATTAAAAGTTTGAGGTGTGTTACGGATTAAAAAAAATTATGATGCAACATATATGTAAGTTCATGAATTAAATCAAATATAAAAGGAAAAAGTTCAATCAGGTCATATATAAAAGTATTAAATTTCAACGAGACAAAACAAAAAACAAAGTCATTAATTCTTAAAGTTTTTAAACTTTACTTTTTTAAAAACTCAGTTCTCAATAGGGTCGGCTGCCCCGTACTCGAGCCCTCATGGCTCCACCGCTGGAGGAAAAACTACTTACTAAGCGAAACGTGGCTTATTTCGGCCCATAGAATATGATTATTCAACTAGGTGTAAGTGTAAATGGACAAAATATTAATGGAAAAAGAAAAGGCCACGACATAAAAAACGACAAATCGTAATACGTTATATATATATATATATATATATATACCTGGTGCGTGCACTGATTTTGCTCAAATTGTGGATAAGTATATACTTTATTTTGCAGATTTTCTGAAAGAATATACCTAGAATAAGGACATCCTTAATTTTAGCTATTTATAACTTTTGATGAAGGAAGAAACAGCCACGCTCAAGCTTTTTGCCGAGCAATACACAACATTACATGACGCGCATTAATAATGTGAATAGGGTTTTGACCAAAACAATATCTGTTCTATCGACAGATTTGAAAAGTTCAATTTAATTTGCTGTATCGGAAAGTGTGATCAGTGATCACTTAAGGAGTACTCAGTTACTGAAAGTTTTATAACCCTGTCTCTGACATTTTTCTCATCCTTCGGGAACAATTCCGGTTACAACTCCTTGAGTACAAGATGACACTGATTGGTCTGTAAATCAGAAAAGATGAGGTCCGGATATTGTTTAATGAAGGATCGAAGAGAGCAACTCATATTTTCCGTATGATCGCTAAAAGAACTAAAGGACGAGATTGATGATATCTATATATAGCTATGGGAACTAACTCGTATAACCTCCCACCATTGGGGTCACGTGGGACTTTCCTATCTATAGTCGAATAACAACAGCTTCTGCTATATATCTGCCGGCTAATTAACAATATTTGGGAATACGCACAAGGGATCATATAATATATTTTAATTTAGTTTGAGGAAGACGTTTAGTTCATAAATTTATAATTATGATTCATAATTATTCTCAATTTACGTGTGTTTTTTGTGAAAGAAAATACTATAATGAGTCACAAATTATGATCCAAATCATAACACGGATCCTTACACTAAATGCAGAAGATCAAGGGGGTGAGAGAGAAAAAGAAGGAAGAAATGAATAAAACGTCATAAATGAAGAAAGGTAATGATCAATGAATATTTAAATTAATTTTCCCCTTCAAAAAAAAAAAAAAAGAAGCGGGCAAAGGACTACACAGCAATGGTATGAATGCACAAAGTTATGATGTCATCAACTAGCTCATTTTCTAATTATAGAGTTGGCTCCAATTATATATTACAGATAGTGCACATTTCTGAAGGTTGGACAAGTTAAAATCATAACAAAAACAAAAAATACATAAAATAGTGTGATAGGAAGTGATTGGGATCCGGGACAGCTGGAACTTGAGTCGAGTCACATAATCGAGCTTGAGAAATAAGGTCACGTTTTTAGGCTCTGTTCATTTCACCGATTCAAATTTTACTATAGTAAAAAGTTCTCAGAAATAGTCACATCTAACTTTTTTGCTACAATAAAAAGCTCTCACATTAAGTTACATCTCAACTCGAATTAAAAACTCAAATCAGCGAACTAAATGAGAATATTTATATGAGTTGGTTCAAAATCAAAGTCAGTGTCGGGGTTGCATTTTGGGATTAGGGGCCGAGATCGAGCTTTGAGATCAAGATCGAAATAGGGTTGGGATCAAAGTTGGGCGCCAGGGTCGGTGTTTGGTTTTGGGGGATGGGTTGGAGTAGGATTTCAGAAGCGGAGTCAAGATCAATATCGATATTGGGATCGGAGCCAGGATAATTTGTTAGAAAATGAGTTCATTACTTAATTTGTTAGAAATATTTTTGCAAATCTTATCTAAAAATATGGGTCAAATTATGATTGTCTAAAAATTGAGGAGTCACTATGCAATTCACATTTTCTAAGAAATTATATTTTTATCCCTTAGTTTTAAAAAATTATATATTTATCCCTTAAAAATTACAATTTAATCCCTACATTTTTTAAAAAATTGCATTTTAATCCCTCAGTTTTTAGAAAGTTATAATGTACGTGGCTTTGTTTTTCAATAAACTTAGTAAAACTGCCAATATTTATTTATCTGCTTTTTCTCTCGTCCCCCTCCCATGTTGGGTCGGGATTAAAGCTAGAGTTAAAGATAGGCTGGGTCAAGGTTTAAGTTCTTTTAAAAATTAAATACGTAATTAATGCAATACGGTGATGAATAAATATGGTATAATATAATTTAATAATTAGATATGATGCAAACTAAATGCCGTATTGTAAAAACTATGTATGTATACACACACAATATAATACGTCATGAAACTATATGTTAAAGTTCAACAACTGTATCCTAATTAGTTTATTAAATACGCTCATCAAATCATCAAATACCAAAATGAATTTGGTTAACAGGGTTTGTTGTACCTAAAAGCTAATCATCCTAATTTGATTGTTATTATACCTTGATCATCAGCAACTTTTCCTCAAAAAGTAGCAAATTAACAATATGCTCACGAAATTCACAAGTATAGAAAAAGCTTATATCTAGCTCAAATCCATTTAAAATCACAAAGCCATTCAATAAATTACAAAGTTCATGATATCCGGCCTAGTGGCCGTCCTTTTAACATAATTGATTTGTCAATATTCAAGGCCTCGTGACACTGACCAAACTCTAGAAAAGCATTGAGTTTTTATTTTTATTTTTTTTAAATACGGTGTGGTTCTTATGACTCTGATTTTATTAATAAAAATGATACCATCGAGATTTAAATTGTGTTGGATACATGCACACTCACTCACCCAACTATTTAAGCTAGTCTAAAGTGGCATAAACGTTCTGCCGTGTTTGAAATTGATCTCGTTTTTATTTTTTACGTTTTTTGAGAAAAAAATAAAAACGTTTCTAAATCGGCATTTGGTGCAATAAAGACAAAAAAGGAAAATGAAAACGATTTTTTTAATTTAGTGTAAAATGAGAGATAAATGAAAAATGACTTTTAATCGTTTTTCATTTTTTGTTTTCGTTTTCTCCTCTCTCGAGCAGAGAGAGACAAAGAGAGACATTAATAAGTTTTTTTACACTGAAAATAATATCTTAATAAAACTACTAAACGTATTTTTAAAAATAATTTCTGTTTAAGATTGAAAACGTTTTCATTTTAATTTTCATACAAAAAATAAAATCATTTTAAAATGAGTTTCAAGCGCGACTTTCGTGTCTCACTTGTCTTTTTGTGAATCTTTTGAAAGGATGGCCTCACGTATGGCGCGGAATTTGGCAAAGAGTGTGTCTCTAGGCGGCCAACTTTCTTTGATCACTGGAATATCCGCAAAAACTTGCATCCAAGTTGACAACAAAGGAAACTTTTCTTCCGGTATCAATTTCAGCCCAGTTATCTCTTCAAAGACGCTCACCAAATCTGCAAGCCAGCCCAATACACTATCCACAAGCCCCAATTTCTTTACCCCCATAAGTGCTTCTTTCCCTTCAATTCTTATATATATATATATATATATATATATAGTCAAAGATCAACGTGGCTTATTAATATGTTGATTGCCTTTTAATTACATGCATGTCAATTATGTATGGGACTAAGTTGAGATGTGATGAGTGAGTTTTACTCGCTCATTTGGTATCGTTTTAGACTTAATATCTAGTTGGTTTCGAGGTTTTTGTTAGTTTTTATGTGTGTTTTCGTTCTTTGTTTGAAGGATAGGTAGAAGTCTATGATTTGGAAAGTTTTGGACAAATTTTGGTGGAAAATGACAGCAATCATAGCGCTTAGGCACCAATCTATAGCGTCTTGGCGCTGAGTTTTATGGAATTAGCGTGTTGGGCAGAACTGATGGCGTTTTGGCGCTAGTTTGCAGCGCTGCGGCGCTGAAATCCGGCAAAAATTGTGCACCGGGCAGAATGGGCAGCGCTTAGGCGCCCATTACAGCGCCGCAGCGCCCAAGAATTTTATATAGCAGCGCTATAAACACAGCGCCGCGGCGCCGCGGCGCTACGATACGAAAAAATACGCGTTTTGAAGGCTAATCGCGAGAAAACTTACCCGTTTTGACCCTAATGCTCGGAAACATATAAATAGATGATTTTAGGGCAATTAGAAAAGACTTTTAGACTGTGGAATGACGGCTGGCTTTTGAGAGAGTATTCAAGAAAATAAAAGGAGAATTGGGACGGAGAAGAAGAACGGCTCAAATCCGGAGACGGCTACGCTTCAATTCAACTCCAAACTAGTTCTTTTCTTTCCTTTCCAATGATTAAGACTTTGTTTAGGAATTTATTTTGTTTAGAGATGAACTAATTCCTTTTTCTAGGGCTACGATGTAGCCAAATTATGAATGTTCGAATTCTCAATCTTCTTTTTAAGTAATTGATGTTTAATCCATATATGCTGAGTATTTCAATTTATTCTTAATGCTTGTGATTGTTTGGCCAACTATTACACTATTTTGTATTTGATTTAATCCATCTGAGTATTTCAATTTATTCTTAATGCTTGTGATTGTTTGGCCAACTATTACATGATTTTGTATTTGATTTGAGACTGAGAGGTGATAATTGAATAAGCTCTTAATTGAAATACCATGAGTTGTTCATAGGATAGAGATATCTATGATGCTTGTGCAGTTCTTTTGAATTTCTTACACTTAATGATTTTCAACAGGTTTAGAAGTCTGACAGAGATGTAGATTTTGCTTGTTGGATTAATATTATTGTTGCTTGAGAAAGAATAATAATTGCTTTAGAGAAATTGCTGTCAGTATAGGATTGAATGTTAATTTGCTTGAATTATGAGAATTTGAACATGATTAATTTGGTGAAATCGGAAACCCTAGAATCTTAGTCTATTGGATTTTCATCCGTTGCTTAGCGTTGTTTAATTTATTTAATTGTTTTAGTATTAATTTACTTAATTTTATAAACTCTCTTTTCAAGTATTCAAATAAAATTAGGGTTAATATAATTTCGGTAATTAGTAAACAACAATCCTCGTGGGACGATATTCTTATTCACTATTATATTACTTGATTGCGATAGCGTATACTTGCGTTACGATTTTTAATATGTTGATTGCCTTTTAATTACATGCATGTCAATTGTGTATGGGACTAAGTTGAGATGTACTAGGTAATATTGATGCTAGTCATCACTCGTTTTTCATTTATAAAATCAATATTGTTTCTTTATAAGAATCACATATTAATGTAAAAGAAAAAAAATTTAAACTTGTGCAATTTCTGTAACAATTTCTGTCTAGTTAAAATAGCGATTATATTTTTCACGAAGGGTAATTTTTTTATTTTATATTTTTCTAAACTATTACATGTACAAATTAAATTTTTCCTACATATATAAGTTGTTCTTTTCTTTATTACTTTTTAATTTTTAACGCATGATGCACAAACTAGAGGTGATATTATTTCGGATCATTTTGCCATGATTTTATGTTAGTGGGGGCACTGATAAGAATATGTATATATATTTTATTTTCTCACCATTGTCATTTTTCTTTCTCTTTGTATTAACATTTTTTAAAAAAAAAAATGTAAATATAAAGATCAAAATTAATCCCCAAGAAAAAGAGGTAAAGATTCACATCAAAATAGTAATTAGGAGATTAAGTATGAAATAAATTAAATAGCTTAAATATTAGTGTTTTAGTCTCAAAAACAAATTAAGAGGCTGGATCAAACTTGAGGGAAAAAAAAAGTATTCTAATGGGGGCACATTTAAAAAATTAGTAAAAATATAAATATTTTGACATATCATATATAAATTTTAAATGTGGATTCATAAATAAATATTGAATACTTTTACTTAATTAAACAATTAAATAACTTGTCAAAATAGTATTAGTAAGAGAGAGAATAAGGGAATAATATAGAGTTGAGCTAAAAATTATATGATACAATATGATACGGCATAATACCAAACAATACACTTTACCAAACGTGCCCCAATAAGCTTATTGTGTAGGCTCATCAAATCATTAAGGCGTCGTTGAGTTCGTGAATTCAAGTTTTCAATTTAAGCTGAGATGTGATTTTTTGTGAGAGTTTTTAACTGTAGCAGAAAAAATTAGATGTGACTTTTTATGAGAGCTTTTAACTATAGCAAAACTGAAATTGAAAACTCGAATTAATAAAATGAACGGAGTCCAAAACACCAAAGTGAATTTGGCTAGCACGGTTTGTTTTACCTAAAAGCTAATCATTCTAAATTTACTGTCATTATATATCTTGAGCATCACCAACGTTTCCCACAAAAAGTAGTTTAATAATATTGCTCACCAAATCCATAAGTAGAGAAAGCTTTAAATTCACAAAGCTATGAAATAAACAATAAGACCATGATATCCGGCCGAATGGCCGTCCCTTTATAAACATTATTTATTTGTCGACAATACATTCATAGGACTCGTGGCATTGAACAAACCACAGAAAAAAAAAAAGAAGTTTCTCACTTGTCCTTTTCTGCTTCTTTTGCAAGAGACGCCTCACGAATGGAATGGAATTTGGCAACAAGTTTGTCTCGAGGCGGCCAACTTTCTTTGATCACTGGAATATCCGCAAAAACTTGCATCCAATTGAACAACAGAGGAAACTTTTCTTCTGGTATTAATTTCAGCCCGGTAATCTCTTCAAATACGCTCACCAAGTTTGCAAGCCAGCCCAATGCAATGTCCACAAGCCCAATTTCCTCACCCCCAAAGAGCTTCTTTCCCTTCAGCTCTTCCTCCAAGTACTTGAGGTTCTCCACAGCTGTTGAAAGAGCTTCCTCTTGCTCCTTCCCTTGCTTGGTAAAAGCTTCCCAAATCGCCGGCAAAACCTAATAGTTTAAAAAAAAAAAAGCAATGAGACGTCACAATTATGCGTTACATGTCATTGGAAGTAAACTCGTCAATATTTTTATATATCAATTTCGGACTAGTTCAAAATTTAGTGATAACTATAATTTTTTTTTTATGCATGTATGTAAACTACAGGTACAAATTCAATTTCTATAATATGTAAGGTTTTTTTTTTTTTTTTTTTTTTTTTTTTCTCTCTCTCTCTCTCTCCTAAACGCATCCACAAACAGCAGGTGATGATATTATTTGGTATCAATTGCACACAAAATTTTCTCCAACCACCGTACCGAGAGACATCAATTAACTATATAACATGTTCCTAAATAGTCTTAATTAAGTAGTCTCCATTGGTATTTGCAAAAGCTCTCCGACAAATTTTCTCTTGATCATACCATAAACAACTAGATAAAATCACAAAATAATTGTGTACATTAATAGTCCCGTTTAGTTTGTTGATTCGATTTGAGATGTGATTTTATGTGAGAACTTTTTATTATAGTAAAAAAGTTAAATGTGACTGTTTTTTAGAGTTTTTTACTATAATAAAACGTAAATTTTAAATTCTAAAGGGAGATAATATAAAACTTTACCTTTTCGTCACCAAACTTGGCCCAAAACCGAGCGAGGGCTCTCTGATGAGGCTGATCAGACAGCAAAGGATGTTGCTTCCATGTCTCATCGATGTACTCAAGAATTACAAGAGATTCAGCGATGGGTTTTCCGTTGTGCACAAGCACAGGCACTTTCTTGTGGATGGGGTTGTACCCAATAAGAAGATCGCTTTTGTGGGAAACTTCTTCATAGATTGTTTCGTATTCGACGCCCTTGAGTTTCAGAGCCCACACAATCCTTAGAGCATAAGGACTTGACCATGTCCTGAACAGCTTCACTTCCTCGTCTCCCATAATCCTTTCCTTCCAATTCTTTTTTCTGGATCTTTTGTGATTATTGATTATTATAACAGCCAGTAATTAGATATATACTACTCAACAGGCCACTAATTGTCTTTTTCTATGTCGATATTAGAATTCAAGAATTTGTCTTCATCTTCGGTTGGGTTAATTCTATATATGGCGTGTGAAATTTACATTCGATCTATTTGTCTTTAATTTTTCAAACATTACACAAACAGTAGCTGATGTTTTATTTTTTTTTAGTTTTGGTCAGATGCGTTAAAATTTAATATAATTTTTATAAATTAGAATTTAAAATTAAAAATAATTAAAATTTTAAATTAAAAATTAATTTTAATTTTTTTTATTGTTTTAATCTTTAAATTTTATATGTTTTTAATTTTAATTTATAATTTTTATAAATTTTATTAAATATTTAACAATAAATTAACAAAATAATAAAAATAAAAATAAAATAAAATCTCCAAGATTAATCGTGAGATATTAAAAAAAAAATCATGAATTAAAATAGAATTGTAGTCCTCCAAAATTATTTGTGAGGTTTATCCTTTTCGGTTTGACTTTCTGCCATATTGGAACATTTTGGTCAGTAGTGGCGGCTATAAAATTGAGTCTGGATTTGTTGTTCTGAATTTTTAATCTTATTGGTTGTCCCAATAATATTTTTACATATCATTTAAAAATTTGACCATAGAAACAGAAATTACGGAAACTATTGAGAATGAATAGTCGATCAAAAGTATTAATGGAGGCACATCCAATAAGAAAATAAAATGAGACAACGGAGTGCTTCTTAAATTGCACGGCTTTTGGAAGGAATATGAAAAAGAATCTAACAACATGGAAAAACTTTGATATCTCAAATGATACCTAATTAATTGGATTATGACATATTATTTAAGGAACTTAAATATTAAAGTACGTAAAAAAATTATCATCCATTTACTATTACCACTATGGCCATAATAAAATCTCGCAAGTAGAATATCAGCTGTGTCACCCACTAGGGCAAGGCCAAAAACCACCATTTCCAATGCTCGAGTTCAAAGAGTTGTGTTTGATGGGTCGGAGTTTTTATCTTTTGGTAACATTGGTTCTTGATAAGGGTGGTAATTCATGTTAATAAGTCTTATTCGTATCAATCCATTTATTAATTGTATTAAAAAATATCAACCTAAACACGACTTGTTTATTAAATGTATCAAAAATATCGACCTAAATATGATTCATTTATTAATCATATCAACCCGTATAACCCGTTTAAATTAATATATTGAATAAATAAATAATATAATAATGACTTATTTAACACGGTCATGACAAGTTTAACATATTTATTAGTCAATTTATATTTTTCTTTAAGAAAAATAAATGAAATTTACCTACAAATATTAAAATTCACATTATTTATATTTAATATGTCATATTAACTCTCATATTATATCACATAACATTAGATTACAGATAATACATATAGTTAATCGTGTCAATTTGTGTCATTTATTAATCGTGTCAACCCGATTATGACTAAAATCCATTTATAGTAAACCTAAACCCGCTAATTTCGTACGGGTTTCAAATCGTGTTGTCGTGTCACTACTCGGATTGCTAGCCCTAATTCTTAATTATCTACATTAATGAACAATACAACATGTTTATAAGTAGATTAGTCTTTTGAAACTGATGGTTTTCAATGATTCCAAATATTATAAAACACGAATTACTTATAAGCATATTATAGGAAGCAAAGTTAGTTTTCCAGTTCTTCCAGATGACTATATGCTTATCACAGGAAGCAAAGTTAATGCCAAGCTAGATCTAAACACGCTATTTTCTTTGATGAGTGTGGAGGTCAAGCAATGTCATTGCAGTTAACATTGACAAAGGTAAAGGATTTATACGACACTAGTAAAATATTAGAAAAATGATATATACAACCAATATAAGCCTTAATTTTAAATTAATTGGGATCGGTTATATAAATTTTTTATTTTTAGTCTGTTCTATTAAACACGAGACCCTCATGAAACCTTAGATCTTAAAAGTCGTGTTTAACTACGTCAATTTAAATAATTCTTAGTCTACCTATCACTCTCTTAATATTAGGTATTTGGAAGGAATATATAGATAAAGTTTTTTTTTTTTTTTTTTTTTTTGGAAGGGATATATAGATAAAGTTTGAATTTTGCCATCATTATTAATATGACAAACAAGCTTAAAAAATACCTTAATTGAACTTTTCTCCTCCTCTATGGTTAAAAATGACACTTATCGGTAATGTTGGAGCGCCGGCTTTAAAGAGAGAATAAAATAAAAAGTAGATGGTTGAGATTGATCTAGGTTTTTTATTAATGTTTTATTTAATAAAATACCGATTAAGCCCTTTTAAAACTCACATGTGCCAGTCACATGCTTCTGTTAGTCTTTTAATATCTACTGGTTAAATGGAGTAAATTGTAATAATTAAGTAAATTGAGAGAGTTGATTATCAAAATTAAAAATTTAAGAGGTGATTTCCTAAAGCACAATAAATTCGGGGACTAATTGTACTAAAGGCCATGTGTTAATTAATCTTGCCACCTAACAGGGTCGATTCATCATGTGTCAACCAACATCATATAATTTAGTCTGTTTAGTTCGCTGATTCGAATTTTTAATTTGAGTTGACATGTAATTTTATGTGAGAATTTTTTACTATAACAAAAAAAATTAAATGTGACTATTTCTGAAAATTTTTTACTATAATAAAACTCAAATTCTAAACTCGAATCGATAAAATGAACGGACCTACATAAGCAGTTAATAAAAAGGGTTCCGACGGTTTAAAAAAACTTTAGTCTATGGACACGCCCATACTAAAAAATCTTCCTAATAAAAAAATATCCAAATCCTGTGTCATATTACGATTTCTTTTGAAAAAGAAAAGCCTGGTCTTCTAGTAAAGGCGTGGAGCCGCCCCTCCCAACTCTCCCTTTCTCTGTGTCTCAATTCTCTCTCTCTCTCTCTCTCTTCTTTCTATTGCTCAAAAAACCAGCCAAATCTCATATTCCTAACTCTCTGTTTCAGTCAGTCATAATTTATTTTTTGTCTATACTCTTCCAGAAAGTACTTCAAGATTCTCTACCCGATCTTCTTGCCCAACTTCTGACCGTGTCACGTCGTTAGTTGAATTTTTATTGAAGCATTTGAGGAACACTATTTGAGGAACTAGTGTTGTTAGTTTTTTCAAAAAAAAAAAAAAAAAGACTACACTAATTGAAATGGTTGTTGACAAAAGGGGAGTAGTCAAAACTCAAAATCAATGTCAGAAAGACCAGGATAATTTCTTTTTTCAAATTTCTTAACTTGCTACAACTCAATAATATTTAGCATTAATCACCACTACAAATATCTATATACTATTAACATCATGAAGATGAGAAGATCAATTCAGAGCCTTAAAACCCGGTTTTATGTTCCATTAACAAATCTAATCTTTATAGTACTAATTCTGTAACATACAAATCTTTACAATACTCCCATAACATATAACAATTAAATGGAAGAAGAAAAAAAAGTTTCGAACTTTATCTGCAAAAAAGAAAAGATAATGAAAGGGATAGAGGGAACCTGGGATCATATTGTTGTTATTATGGTTGCTGGGAAACGTTAGGACTGAGTCAGCACTTGGCACTTCAAGTAGTTTTAACAAGTACAGATTTCAACTTCTGACTGAATTGATTATCCTAATATTTCCCGAGCAAAAGATTATCCTAAAATTCAATTGTTATATTAATGTTATGTTTAGTAGGATGGATAGAAAAGAGAAAGAAAAGAGAAGTAAAATACTTTGGTGAAGGAAGCAATATGATTTTTTCTCATGTTGTTTAGTAGAAGAGAAAAAAAAGTGAAAAGAAAATATTAAATTTAAGACATTTTATAATAATACCCTAATACAAATAAAAATATGATGAACAATGAAGGTTAAAATTGTTATTTTACATCTCATTTTTTTATCAAATTTTTTCCCGCCTATTTTCTTTCCAAAGTTGGAAGGATTTAAAATTAGTGGGTTCTATGAATTTTAATTTTCCTTCCTTCCTCATTTCCGAGACGTTTAGTTCATGGATTAAAATCATGTGATTAGAGCCATTTTCGATTTATGTGTATTTTTTGTAAGAGAAAACACTGTAGTGAACTATGAACTATGATTCAAATCATAGTTTGAATCCTCAAATCAAACATCCCCTTCATCTCTATTAAACAATCTAAAATTTTATTTTTCTCTATAAAATCATTTCTCTATTTTTTTTCTTTCTTTTTCACCCTATCAAACACATGTAAAAGAGGAGAGAGGAATGTCACCACAATAGTCGAGACGATTCCTTAAACACCCCTCCGCTAAGCTTTGTTCTTTTATAATAAGCTTCATTTTTTTTCTTGTTTGTGTTCTCTACTTTTATAATGACCTTGTAAGGACATGATTGAGCTGCATTAAAATAATAACAATAATAAAAAATTACAATTAAATCTATTTATCTATAATCTACAACTATATATAAAGCGGAGTTCCATTCGGTCAGTGTTCAAAAACTTCGTTTAGGTATTTTGTGGGTCTCTCTCTCTCGCTCTCTCTCTCTTCGTTTGCTAAAGTCAAGCCTCAGTAGTGTCATTTTGTGTCGAATTCAACCATGCTCATTACTTATCCTTTTCGTTTTTCTTGTCGTTTTTTTTTTAAATATTTTTTTCTTCTCTTTCCCCCCTCTTTTCTCACGTTTTTGTCTCTTTCTTTTAAATATTTATATTTTTAAATTTTTTTCCTTACAATACTTGTTTTTTAAGTTGTCCATATTTAGGTGCCGTTTATTTTAAGAGTTATGTATGATTTATGATCATGATTCTTAATTTTATTACAGTATTTTTCTCTCATAAAAAATTTAAATTTTAAAAATTAAAATAATGAACCATGATTTTGAACCTATGAACCAACGTCACCTTAATGTTGGGTAGGAGGGAGTGAGGCATTATTTGATAAGAAAGAGGAGAGAGATGAGAGATGTAGGGAGAGACTCTCCCTTCAGGTCCACAATTTTAGATCTTTCAATTCAATGAAAGGATCCAACCAATCTACTAAAATTTAAAAAAAAAATGACTTTTTTACTTTTTAAAAGTAATTCTTAACAAATAGTAAAATTGACAATGTAGTAATTAAATAAAAAATTATCATATATCCTTTCAACTCTCCATCCCTCCCACTAAATAACATAAAAAATTATTATAATCCTCTCCATCCTTTACATTCTCACCTCTCCATCCCTCCCCATCCTCTCCATCCCTCTTACCAAATGATAAATGTTCTTTAAATATGTACCACTATTTCAATATTTTTGCTTACTGATAAGGACACTTTGGATATAACTGTTTATTATTGAATAAATTATTAAATATTTAAACTTTAGTTAAACATTTTTCATGATTTTTATTGAGAATATTTTAATTAAAATTTGTTTAATTTTTACTTATTTATTTACAAATATTAAAAAATATATATATAAGAAGTCATGCAACTGAGCCACGAAAGACATGTAATCAAATTGTTTGAAAGAGCAAATTGTTTGAAAGGGTGTTTGTATAGGTTTTGGAAGGAAAATAATGTGGAGGCATCAACTCAAAGGATCTTGGTTTTGAAATATGAAGATCTAAAAAGAGACGTACGGTTTCCATCAAGAAGTTAGCAACCTTTGTGGAATTGCCTTTTTTAAAAGAGGAAGAAAATCAAGGAATTATTTGATCGAAGAAATATCAAAGTTTGGCCTCAAATGAGAAGTTTGAAATATGAAGATCAAAATAGCGCTTTCTTTAGAAAAAGGTAAGGTGTCAGATCCGAGATTGGATGAATTATCTAACACCTGCAATGGATGAACATTTTTTTTTTATAAAAAATATCTTCAAAGAGAAATTATCGAATTTGTCATTTCACTTCCAGAAATTATCTGTATGGTGTGTGATGAAAAATGCAACAAGCCATCCTTATAATGGAATTGTTAGTTGTATTTTTTAACCTTTGTGTAAAGATAATAATTGACGAAAAAATTAAATAGAAACACATTTAAAAAAATATATTTTCTAACTAAAAATAAAATAAAAATACATGTAAAAAAATTACTCTTATAGGACTAACGTGAGATACAACATATTTTTAAAAAACACACAAGAAATTAAAATATAAAAAAATCACAAACAAAAATATTAAAAAAAGTAAAAAAAAAAAAACAAGAAAAAGAAAAGAGTTTTAGCGCTTTTATGTATTTTTAGATACAACCTTAATTAAAAGGTGCATTTTCATATAAAGAGATAATTGTTATAATAGATACAACCTTTAATAAAAATGTGCATTTTCTAAATAGACACAACTGTTATAACAAACATATATATTAATAACAAACACTTAATTCTAACGTTTGAATCTTGTCCCATCAAATCAACGGCTCTGATGACTTTTGATTTTCCAAGAGATCTTATAATTTCCCTAACAATGCTTCCAATATATATATATATATATATATAAAGATCACTTTCCGACTACATATTTCTAATACCTAATCCTACCAACGTATGCTTTGATATTAATATATTGTGAAAAAAACACACAATTCACTCGGATTAAATCTTTGTGACAACAACATAAGATACTTCAATTCTAAGAAATTATTAAAAGAAAAGACTAATTGTTACCTACAATATTAATTTATAGAAATTTATTGAAGAAGAAAATCCAGTAAAGGTCAAGGCAAATCTTCATTTAAATTGGAGTCGACTTCATTCGGCAAATCCAGTCATATCAAAACAAATTTTATGTCATGATAATCATCGAAGCAACAACATTTTTAGGGCATGATTCAGTGTCAGGTTTATAAATTTTTAGTTCAAATCTTATCAAAATTTTTTAGTTCTTTAGTACTTTTGTACATTTTTCCTCTTTTTTTTTTTTTGTAGGGCAAATATTTAAATAATCCATAGGTTAAAAGTAGAAAATCAACAGTCCACTAATGAATTTATCAAGAAATAAATAAAATCAGGGCCCGTTTAGTTCGCTGATTCGAGTTAAAATGTGATTTTATGTGAGAGTTTTTTACTGTAGTAAAAAAGTTAGATGTGATTGTTTGTGATAGCTTTTTACTGTAACAAAACTCGAATTCTAAACTCGAATCAGCGAAATGAACGGGATCTCAATGAATGATATCTTAAACCTAAAACAAATAAATGAAAAGTTGTTCTGACATTAAAAAAAAAAAAAAAAGGCTGTATTCCGTTGCCGGGACTCGAACCCGGGTCTTTCAGGTGAGAGCCGAATATCCTAACCACCTAGACTACAACGGAGTTAGCCATTCGCTATGACTTTTAAATAAATAGAGTAGGACTACAAACAAAAAATGAACAATTAGACTTTTAGGTGTTTACACGTTTTTAGACCAATAATTTTAGTCATCGCAAAACAAACCGTTGATTTTGTCCTCGCAGGAATGGAAAAGGGTCGTGCTCATGTGAGCTTATTTATTTATGCTTTTTTTACTTTGTTAAATTGAAATTCATTAACCCAAGAAACAGAGGCAACAACAAGAGTCCACCAAAGCAAACTAGAAATCAAGGGGAAAAAAAAAACCGTAACCAAACTAAACATAGCCAAATATTAGGAAAAAGACCTTTTGGATCTTTAGAACACATTCATACTACACGTCATTATTAAACATTTTCCACTTTGCATTAACGATAAGCCATTCATCTCGTGAGGAACCTAAGCAGTTCAAAGAGCATCTATTATAAGTGATTACTCAAATTACCCTTTTAATTGTTAAACCATGAAATTATTCCCTACTCCCAAAACTTAACAATGTATCATTCAAATTGTGTTGGACCATTAGATATCATCACACATTCAGGCTTAATCAAAGCACAATAATCTCGTGGTCGTGGATGCTGTTATTGTTATTGTTTGATTATCAAAATTGTCTCCCGGTAAACCTGAATTGAATACGAAATCGCTCATTGACTATTAAATCGTCACATTTTACTAACTTTTCACGTCCCTCTAATAATATCATGTTACTTCACCAAAGATGTCATGTGAAATAAAATATAATGTCACGTCAATTAAAATGCTGCGTGAGCTAAAATATTTTAATGATGTGCCATAATACTATAGGGGACAAGATGTGAACAAGGGACATGGCCAAATTTGATCATTAGTGTTGCACCAATGCTCATTACCCATAGCTTCATTCTATTATTTTGATATTTGAAAAATAGATGGAAATCACCATGTGCCTATCACGTGAAGTTTTGCCATGGGTAATTTTATTCCCGCGTTCTCTCCCATATCTCTCACCTACCATGCCTAACCACCACCTCTTCTCCACTTTGATACTTCTCTGTTAGGATCTTGGTTGAGTCTCACATTGTTAAAATATGGGCTTAGCATGTAGGCTTATAACCACTTAGGCACCCTCTCCCTACAAGCTAGCTTTTGGGGATGAAAACTACCAAGGGTTATAACAATTGATATCAGAGCATGCTCCTCCTCAGGCCCACGTTGCGGAAGGGGCGACCTGGAAAGGCTAGAGTGGGCCGCCGTGGACGTCGGTGTCGGAAGTGTGGTGGTATGTTAGGATCCTAGTTGAGTCTCACATTGCTAAAGTATAGGCTTAGCATGTGGGTTTATAACCACTTAGGCACCCTCTCTCTACAAGTTAGCTTTTAGGGATGAGTTCTATCGAAGAGTTATAACAATCTCTCCCTTACCCTGCTCCAAACATGAGCCAATCCCATCACTCGTTCTCCGCCACTTGGCTTCAAAATTGAACCCAAACCCACTAAATGAAAATTCGGCCATGGTAGGTTAACCCAAAGTCGATGTCGGGTTAAATCGGGTTGGGTTACAGGTTGATGGTAAATCGGGTTATAGGTTTTTGTGCTGTCCTAATTAGTGTTGTGGACTGACGCTGAAATCAGGAGCTTTCAGAAAGGATGGCATCAAGTTTATGTGGATGGAGATGCAAAAATTGTAGTAGATGGCTTAAAGTTAATTAAGCATTCTTGTAGTTATACATATACATAACAGAACCTACTTCAATCTTAAGTGGGCACAGCTTGCACAAAAAAGCTATAACCTGTGTGATTAAATATGGAAGAACAAGAACTAGTTATTTACTTATGGATCCAAACAACTAATTAACAATACAATTAAGTACCGGATCTGTAATTGACAATACAATTAAGTACCGGATCTGTCGGATCATAAAACAAAATGTTGGACGTGGGTTAAGACCATGGGACACAGAATGATATGTATCAATAGCATATATTCACCTCGTTCACTATCTACTTAACTGGTAAAAACTTAAAAGGCAAAGTATAAGATACACTTATTCATCATACAATTAGTGATTACTCCTCGTACATGATCATATGTTAACAAAGGGTCTATAATTCTTTAAAGCGAGGCACGAAGTTTTTCTGTTAAAGACATAAAGGAGAGGGTGTTGACTAGTGATGACATGTACCTCAACGCCACCTTCAACAATTCTTCTGAGCAACCTGGTTTCACCATCTTCTTTACCTGATGAATGAGGTCATGAAGCACCCAGATTTGGCGTTAACTTCTACACAACATGAGATTGGAACCAAAAAGGAATGTCCAATTATAAGATAACTAGTGGATTTATAAGCACTTGGGTCAGTTCTACCCAATGGGTTTGTAACAATTAGTATCAAAACAAATCCAACATGTCATATGCTTAGTGAAGTAGCCGAAGAGAAAAGGGCTACTACATGATGGAAGGTAGGATCTGTGAAGTCACCTGGCTAGGAAGATGGGCTGCCGTGGACAGCGGTTACGAATCATGGTGGAATGTTAGATACCAAAAGTCGAACATGGAATAATTATTAGATGACTAGTGGATTTATAAGCCATCGGGTCCCCTCTCTTTGCATGGGTGACTTCTACCCAATGTGTTTGTCACCGATATCAAGTGATGAAGTAGTTTTTCTTTAGAAGCCAAAACTTTTATTAAGTGACGTAGTAGTTGATTTGTTAAGAGTATAGCCAATATGACGCTTAAACTCGTTAGCATATGTGGTATTTAACCAAATGAAAACTCGCATTATCTGGTATCTGAAGCTTGGTAAACAAATTGATTCCCATGAGATTACTCATTTTCTAAAGATCCTACTATCCTTTAAACCTTGCTGGGTACTAATGGAACTAAAGCAAAAAAAGGAAAGAACTATGAGATACTTTGGAGCCTAGCTTGAAAGGTAAATCTATGAGTTAAATCGTAATTATGCAAGTGTTAGTGCAAAACCAGACTGACTAGGAGAGCCAATGATCCGATTTCAAGAAAGAATACACATATATATATATATATATATAAATGCGCTTTTGGAAGCTCTAATGATTTACAAATAATGCAGAACTTTCACTTTGGACTTGTTAATTTAGGCTTTTTACAGGCTCTAAACTTTCACTTTGGACTTGTTAATTAAGAGCACTTCAAGGAATTAGAGAAAGACAAACACATTTGAAATTAACATAAGCAGGTACAATTATTCAAGCAATAATCAAAATTTTTAACATACCGTGTCAAGGTAAGCATGCAACTCATTTATCTTCCCAATGTAATCCTGATCTTCTTCTGTGAACAGAACTTCGACCTTGTTGTAAAGATCTCCCCGCTCTATCTGAGTGGCCCCGAGATTTTCGCAGAGATTGTCCATTATAAATCCTTGACAATCTGATTTAGAACACAGTTAACACAATGAAAAAGTAAGAAACAATTATTCAAAAGTAAGAAACAATCATGTGAGTTTCGCATATTTTTATTTTCGTTCTCATGTGATTTCGACAAAATTTAAAGTTCAGAAATCAGAAACACACACTACATAAAAAGCTCCTTAAATTTAAAAAATATTCATCATATCAGAATCAATTTTTTTTTTTAATTATCAATCCTGAAGACTCGTACATGCCCATCAACGCCAATATCAAAAAATCTCAAACAGATTGCAGATAGTTCACTCAAGAAACATGTGCGATGAAACTTTAACTACCCAAAAGTTTTTCAAATTAAAATGTGACTGTAAGAGAGAGAGAGAGTCAAAAGACCCAAGAAAATCTTTTTTTTTTTTTATAACTCACCTCAGGGAATTGAGCTTGAAGCTTTTCATCACCCATTTGCAAAAACAAAAGAGACCCAAAAAGATTCTCACTTTAATCAGACAATTCACTTTGGATCCCACGAAATTTACGAACAAAAGAAATTCAGAAGAGGCCCAGAACTGTATCGAGCATTTTGTCAAACACAAAGCGAGCAAAATTCCTTTGGAAATTATTATATAATAAATACTAGTGGATATATTTGTTATCACTCACTGTTTATCTTGGACTGATTTGTATTTTCCTGTGAAGAGAAGAGGTAACGTCTAATATAAGCAAAAACTACTTGCCACGTGGCCCCCTAGATCCTCCTCTCTCTCTCTATCTCTCTCTCTCTCTCTTCGCTCTTTAATCTCTTCGATGTGAGCATCTCAGAAGTCAGAAAGAACCTTTGAACCTGACCAAGCATATCTCTTATTCTCTCTCTCTCTCAAAGCGACGGCGTTTTGTTGCAATCTCTGCCATGGGACAGGTCTTGGACAAACTTCAAGGTATCAATCATCCAATATTTTTTCCTTCATTTATTTATTTATTTATTTTCCTTTTTTGGGGTTGTTGATGTTCTTGTTCTATTGTGAAGTTGTTGAGTTTGGTATGTGAGTTATATGAAGAAGATGAATAATTGCTAATAAGAAAAAAGTCAAAACTAGATTAGCAAAAAAAAAAAAAAAAAAAAGTCAATACTAAAACTGCTGAGGAAAAAAGAGAAAAAAATTTGGTGTTTTCCTATCTGTTGCATAGAAACATAAACAGACCTGGCCATTTTCTTGAGGATTCTTCCAGAAAAGCTCAACTTTCTTCTGGCAATACTATTCAGTATTCCCCCCTTTTTTTTTCTTTTGGTTTTTTATTCATTTATTTTTTTTTTTTTTGCTATATTTCCTTGGGAGTTTTTGACTTCTTGCAGAAAGTGGTTTTTTTTTTTGTTTTTCTTTTTTTTTTATTGGATTACTTCTAGGAGTGTCAAATTGTCAATATTTTGATGGCCTTAGATTTTGTTTCAAAATTACATTCCCATGTTATTTTTTTTAAAGAATAATATAATAATAGTAAACAATGCTAATGTCCTTATTCAAATACGGGAAGCATATCTCACGCGTTTTTTTTTTTTTTTTTTTTTTCTCATGACATGTTTTAAATATTAGATCTGATAAAAATGAAATGAAATAAAAAAATAATACAAAATTGACAAAAGAATTCTCAATTCTTATTTGACATGTTAAACAGTTTGTTTAATATGTTAATTGTTATATATTGAAAAGGAGTAATAAACATTCACTTGTAACTTATAATATTATCATATATATATATATATATATGATTTGTTCGCCTACCGTACGATGTCAAGTTTTAATAGTAAAAAGTGAATGAATATCATCTTTACATGAATTGAGTGTTATATTACCACTAAGTTCTGCAATTATCGTAACTTAACTTTATTTAGAAATCTAAACTAATTGAAATTAGAATAGAACAAGAATAAATATAAATACAAAAATCAAATAAAATATGAAAACTCTTATGCACAAATATGTATTAGGGACTTGACTCCACCCTATCATTTCTATATTCATCCTATTTAGCTATTACTAGCTAATTCTACTCAATTCATTAATCATAAGTTTTTGAAAGTAATTTCACTCATTCTTCCAAGTGCCGAGCAAAATAGTATGCAAAATCTAGTTAAACAATATCCCTATTAGCCTAATCAAATCAAGCATTCATTAAGCAACCTAATTTTGATTATCTGAATTAATTGGCCTCTCGAACTTAACTAACTCTAGGTTGTGTTTTCCTAATATCAACATGTGAAAGTAACTCTCCCAAGCCTAAATTCACACATCTATAGCTCTAATCCATGAAAACACAAATTAGAGCAACTAACATAGAGAAACACAAATGAATTAAATGGAAATCAAACTAACAATTAGCAAAATATTCAAAACATATTTCAAACAAGGTCACATCAAGTTCTAAAATAATAATTTAGCTCAACATATAGGAATCTATAACCAAAAACAAAATCTAAAAACTAAAAAGAAAATAAAGGGAGACGAAAAACTATGTTGGAAGAATGATTTTCTAAGCTTGAATCCACCATCTTCTTCAAGGATCTTCAATGAAATCATGTGATTTGAACCTCCAAAGTTCCTTCTTCTCTAGGGATTTTGTGCCTATTTTTCCTCTCTTCCTCTCCAATTTTGAGAAAATGAGTCTCCTGTCCTTTTATATCTCTCCAAATCAGCTCAAATTGACAGCATTTTGTGTCTGGATGCTTCCCGCTGCAGCGCCGCTAAGGTTTTTAAAAAAATCCTAGCAAACTGGCACAACCGCTGCAGCGGATGGATTTCCCGCTGCAGCGGGTGTGTGGTTTTCCTGCTCTCGGGCAAGAAATCCGCTACAACGAGTGTCTGATTTTGAGGAGGATTTTCACCATCTATATGGTGGAATTAGTGTTTAGTGTCTGCACGAAAGTTGTAGCTCTACCTCTTTTCTTTCTAATGCCACCAAGATCACCTCGTTTGGACTTCGGATGAGAGAGTTATAACCCCCCAAATACTGAAGGATGTTCCGAAGTCAAATTTTCATTCTTTTTATTTCATTTTAACTTCAACCTAAAAAGCAAAATAAAACGCAATAAACTAACAAAAATACTTAAAAACTTACAAATATTCAATCTCAAAATTACTTGATTTATGAATAAAATACTCACTCATCATGGTTGGTTTACACCTTGTGCAGGTAAAGATTGGAGGCAAAGGAAAATAAGGAAGATAACTGATAAGGTTTTTGATCGTGTTCAAGATCAGACAGGAAGGGCTACTTTGACATTTGAAGAGCTATACATTACGGTTCTTCTTACCTACAAGTGAGGAACTAATTATCATTCTGTTTTCCCTGTTCATTCTATAATCTTTGCTCATCAATAAGTTGCTCTTTTTGAGGATGGGATGTCTTCGTGTTGCAGTGATCTCAACAAGCGTTTACCCGGCCCGCATTTCGATCCACCATCCAAAGAAGAAGTCAGAGCCATGATTCAGGTAATCTAGTTCTGTTCTAAGAGGAGTTAAAAGAGGGAGGAAAAAAAAAAAGCTTAATTATGGCCCTTTGTGGTAAAATGCACGGCCAGTGTTCATAGTTATATGAATCCTTCACTATTTATTCACAAATCACAACAAATTTGATAGCTTTTGTATTGATTGCTTCTAATACTTGGTGATGTTAGCCAAGTCTTGAGAAATCTTTATTAGTTCTACCTTCCGTTTTATTACGAAGATAATGAATCTTTTTATCGAATGATCGACAAAAATGCTTCGAGGGTGATTCAGAAGATCTGTAATGAAAATGTGTTTGCTAGAAACGACAAAAGCTTGCACTTGATCTATGTTGATCGATCCATTACGATCGTTATTCATATCCAATATGCTACTTATGGGAACATAAGAAATGCGTAGAATCGGTTTCTTTTGACCAATAGATCAAGTCAAAAACTTCAAATATGGGATTCAAAGAGATCAAATAGAAAATGATACTTTGAATCAGAACTAGGTTTAGCAGGAGTTACCTTAGACACGTTATATCAGATTGCTGGTGTGAAAGTTCAATTTTGCAAATTAGCCACTTAAAGTGTGAATTAATTTCTATTTGGAGCTTAACTGGATTTTCCTCTAGGCTAGCACTTCTACTTATATTTTTCATGACATTTTTAGTCCTTTTGCTTGCTTTCTATTACAACTAACCTTAAAACCAAGCTTAAGAACAGCGTGCTCTGTATGTTTGCTGGAAACTTCCTCCTTTCATCACCTATGACTTAAAAGTTACAGCAAAAGACAAGGAAAAAAAAAAACCCTTAAAATGCACTAATTGTTCTTCCAAGTCATTTTTTACAGCATTTGGTCCAATTTTTGAATGCATTATGCAGGTGGGAATGGGATTTTGAGTTTGCATATTTTTCTTTCGTCTCACTTCCCAAACTTGCGATTTGTTGTTGCTAGTCGATAACAGAAAACATAATGGTAGTTAGACATTGTTAGGAATCAGATATTGGTGGTAACTATTGTTTGTTAATCTGCACCGATGTTTCTTTTTCATACAGAACATTATTGCAAACCCCTTATGGCTAAACAATATTGCAGGAGTGTGACATCAACCTGGACGGAGAAATTGACCGCGAAGAATTTGTGAAGTTCATTCAACGGCTAACAGCAGGTGCATTCGTCACAGTTAGCCAGGGACTAATCGTCACTTTGGTTGTTGCACCAGCATGTGCAATGGCCACAAAGAAGGCCACAGAAGGCGTCCCTGGAGTTGGAAAGGTCGTGCAGAAGATACCTAATTCGATTTACGCCTCTGTTGTGACTCTTGCAGTTGTGTTGCTCCAGCAATCACTGCTGGAGTCAAAAGACTAAAAGTATGTATATTACCATATTATCTGTAGCTGCTTCAAGTCAGACGAAACTAAATTGTTTGTTGATTATGTAATGAACAAATATGTGGACATGGTTTATGAACTTTATGGTATGTTGTTATTGATTAATAAAGCTGCTTGGCAATTGTTGTGTAACATATTGCATTCCTCTCTATTGTTTTGAGTATTGTGAATTGTGATGCTAAAATTAAAATACAATGAAATGGAATAGAGTGACATATAATTAGTTGAACCGTTTATGTAAATACCCTTGCAAACAGAACTACAAATGGAAGAAGTCACCAACTCAAAAAACATCACATATAAACACATCGCAGTGGATATTGGCTTGTTAAGTGTTGTAGGCTGTAGAGATCAATAGTCACGTAGCCATCAAGGAAAATTCAGACTCTGTAGTCGAGATTTGGCTTGATCAAGTAGTTCTGTCACAAACATTATTCACAGTCAAAAGGACGTGCATATGTGATTAAACTCATTTCTGATTCCTGATTTATAGATCAAATCTCATACCGATCCTCACTTTTAAAACGACTCAAAAGTAATGCCCATTTATCAAATTGTTTAAAATTAGTCAATATCGTTCATTCAATAAAATCTCAACAGTAAAAAAGACATGATTCCTTAGTAGCCGTATCCTAACATATAAATTACAAAATTAGCTCTCACTAAACCGGAAATGGTTCTATGTGCCGTTTTCTGTTGAGATTTTTAACATTCAGATGAACATAAAAGACCTGTTTGCAAATATACATTCTGATTCTGCCACAGAGAATTTAAATTCAAAAATTTTCCACCAATAATTCACTCACAAAGTTCTCATCAATGAATAAAGATGACTGACTTGAACACAGAATTCAAACGGGGCCAAAAATCGGGACAACTTAATATTCAGAGACTCATTCTTAGAGGTTTTAAAATTCGGAAACCAAAATGAGATCTGGCCTATTTGAGTAAAATGAGTTAACCCTCGTGCAAAAAAAAAAAAAAAAAAAAAAAAGAGGCAAGACAGGGGTTTACTTTGTTCAGATGCCGTTGCTTTCTGGGTGGTTGTGCGGAAATATACGTTGCCATTTTTCTGGTACACAGCCTGTATAAATAATTAAAAAGTGCATATATATTCATAACAAAGATTATGATTAAACTGAATAAAAGAGAACTAGAAATGTGAGAATGAATTGAGGATTGAGAAAAAGAAATCAGAAATATGTTTACCCGAGAGGAAGAAAGAGCGTGGAGCTCTGCTAAAGCAACTTCGTGGGCTCTTATCTGCTTCACAAGGTCCACTTTCTGTTCGGCTTCTTCGGGGGCGTTTCCTCTCGACGGCGACGCCATCTTCTTTCTTGTTCCTCTGTTTCCCTTTCTCTCTGTCTTGCTCGTCTCCTTTCTGCACTTCTTCTGTAATATTTAATGGCTAAAAACGCTTATTTATTTTATCGATTTAAATTTAAAATTTAAATTTTATTATAATAAAAAAATTTAAAAATAATTATGTTTAATTTTTTTTATTATAATAATTTTTTTTTTATATAAAATTACATTTTAATTTAAATTATAAACTAAATGAACCCTGCATATACAATTATACATATGTGATTGTTGTGGAACTTTTTACACTAATTAAGCAATTGTGTTACCAAAATCACGGAAATACCCTTTATCAATGTTAATTACGTCAACGCCGTGAACTTTTATTCACAAAATAATGACGTGGTTGGTTGACTGAGAAATTTTGTCGAAATCTGCGTTGGCTTTAAAATAAAATGTCAAAAGTACCCTCCAGGCATTAAAAAACCGTTTTTACCCTAACCATATTTTTCCCTCTAATGGTAAAAACAAAAACAAAAAACACAAAAATTCTTGTTCACTTTTCATCAATTTTTTAAATAGTAATATTGTTGAAAAATTTGCACTTGTAACATCTGAAAATAATGCATGTGCTATAGCCATTAACGTAACACAACATAGAATCATATCGAACTCGAACTATATCTAGAAGCATTATATAGTGCAAAGTAAGTTAGAACACGAGTAGATAAAAAATGCATGATCCAAGTTAAGAGAAAGTATGAAGATTTTTAAGGCTGATATGAAGAAGAAGTACATAGTCCAATATAAGTCATAAGACGATGATGATGATGAAATCGAGTCATAAGAGGCTATTTTAAATGGACACTTCATTAACTTTGTGAGTTTAACAATTTGGTCTCTTAACTTTTTTTTTTTGACAATTCACTCTTTAAACTTTAAAATTTATTGTAATGTTGGTCGAATTGAAAATGAATTTAAATATTTAGACAATATCTTTTATGTGAGTGTTTAATAAGAATAATAAATATCTTTTTGCATCGAATTGTTTTTCTTATACGCATCATGAGCGAAATTTTTTTGAAAAAAAGAGAGTTAACTGTTTTGGGAGAAAAATTGGGGGCCTCCCAATTTTAAAAATTTATTCATTCATGACGTGTATAGAGGGTTCAATTCGACGCAAAAAGACTAAGAATTATCCTTATTAAACAGTCACGTGGAAGATACCGTCTAAATTTTTAACTTTGTTTTTAATAATAAATTTCAAAGTTTAAAAAGGTGAATTGTCAAGAAAAAAAGTTAAAGACTAAATTACTAAACTCACAAAGTTGAAGGGGTCTCCATGCAGAAAAACCAGTCATAAGATGATTGAAATTACATATTTCAAAATAAATCGTTAAGGGCTACCAACACATGGTAACACAAAAAAAGAGGCCATCCACTGAGAGTTATTACCACCGTCAAACTAGTCCATCATCAATTCATCATGATAGCAGAAGCTGTTATGTAAAAGTAAGCCTTAATCTGCTTCTCAAATGTTATTGTTTGACAACAAATTTTAAAAGTTGTTAGACAAAAACAAAATTTACTAAACACTTTATCATAATGTAGCTTTTTTAAAAGAGTTCAAAACAACACCAAATAGACTCTTAGATCTGTGTCTAAAAATGTATGTTTTATATATTTTTTTAATCTAATGTAATTTTGATAAGATCTAATAACTGAGAGCAGAGAATTACCTGTTTTTATCTAAGCTGTTGGATTTCTCATTTCTTGAACTCTTCTAAGGGATGGGTAAACTTCCTCCCTAAATGTCTCCCTCCAACCAAAGGCTTTTAATAAGTAGTGATATTTACACGGTTAACCAAATTTAAAATCTTGTAAAAAAAAAAAATATTGGATTTTCTTATAAGTACACAAATAACTTAATTGAGGGAGAATTATATTTCAAGTGAGCTTGCAGATATAAAGGAGATGTATAATAATTGATCTCTTGCTATTGCTTCATTAATTACATTAGAACAAGAATCCAATCCAAGCTATGTGACTCTTTGCATACAACTGATAATTCTCTATATCAATTTGCCTGGTCCATACCTGAAGTAGAAAATCCAAACCCAATTTATCACCATTTATTTTTCATCCCATTACAAGATTTTCCTGTGATAGTATGCGAGTCTCAACTGAATAACGATTCTCACTTTTTTTTTTTTAACATCTGCAACCTCTCTCAAACTCCATCCCATCCCACCAAATCCACGGTGCCGCTAGACAAAACGGTCTTAGGCTGACAATCCTGTATTTGGTGCGTGCGTAATTCGCCAAAAATCAACGGCAATTGCCACCAACATCAATGATGCGTAGCAGCATTATTGAGAGAGAAACACACTCGAAATCCAAAATAAAATACGCATAGTTTAAGACTGCTATGGACGTGGTGTGGTCATGACATTATTATTGGTGCCATTGGTGACCACATTGAATTGTGTGAGGTGAAGTTCTTGAGGAAGAAGATGGTACTTTATGCGAAGGCTTTCGAATATTTTCTTCAGTTCAAACACAAGCTCTGATCTCCGACTGCTCTTTTCTCCGTAGTTCTGGTGGTTCATTGTGTGCTGCACGTACAGCCCCATTTTCATCTTGTTCACGTTCTCTATCTCCTTCACTATCACACTGTGTTTTGGACTCCAGTATTTTGGCTTACTCTCAATGTACCTGCAAATAATTCAAAATATATAGCGCAATTAAATTCAAAACATCGCTATAGTGCAATATTAATTAAGAGACGTGAGTATAAATATCTGATCATTTTCCATCACATAGATTATTAGCATGGATCTTGTTCGGTAATATCGTGAATTACATGGATCTGCCATGGTACATATATAGAGCTAAAAATAGGAACTTCAATGTGAATACAATTGAGGAAATACTGGAAACAGAAATACGCTAAATATAGTATAGTGCATTTAGTGGTTATAATTTCTAGTTTTTCAATTGCCACAAAACTCGATCGGCATGAAAAACAAAAGCATGTAGAAATATAAAAGTTTCCGAGTAAAATTAAAATTTTCTATATTGTGTCGATCGATTGATAAAAAGATTATGTATGAGTTATGACTATTACAAAAATGCATATGAAAGGACCCTGGGAGAGTTAATTTTGTAATTTTATCAAACAGAAAAATCGTATCTTTTCATGGAGATTTGAGCACTACTTGGATGAACAAATGACTAATTTTGGACAATTTAGTTTTAAAAGTATTAAAAGTTAGTAATCAAAAGTGACTTTTGGCTTATATAGTTGACGACTAAAAATCAGTTTATTTATTTTACCTATAACAATAGTACTAATATCTAAACACGTGTGGCGTGTGTATAAATTACTGCATATACATACATATATATATATATATATATGTATAGAGAGAGAGTGAGAGAGACTTACGTTTGTATGGCCTTTCTGAGTGCAGTGACATCGTCGGCAGAAGTGGAGACATCAATGCAAAACTCAACACTGTCAGCCATATCCGGGCTTCTTCTGAAATTGCTAATAGGCTTGGTGAGAAGCACAGAGTTGGGGTAGTATATCTTCTCGTTGTCGTATCTCAAGAACACCGTCGTAAGTATGTTCATCTCCTCAACGATCATCTGAACGCCGTCGATGACGCAGCGGTCACCGACGTCGAAAGGGTGCATGACGAAGACGAAGATGATCGACTCGAACATGGTCTTGCACATGTTCTGAAACATGAAGCCGACAAGCAGCAGCTGAGAAGTCACCACAAATATCACCTTCGTGGTGGCCAGCCCCATCACCAGCAGCGACACCACCGTTATTATCACCGTCACGACGGCGCTCGCCAGCTTGTGCAGCTGGTGCACCGCCGTCTTTGTGTCATTCAGGGAATGCCCCAGGGCCTTGCGCTCCACATACGCATGTACCTAAATCCATATGGATAGGCCCGCATTTTATATCTAGTCATTATTCAGGTTATTACATCACATATGAATATCATACAGTCATTATTATAATTTTTGAACCCTATACTTAGCTCTTTTTTTTTTTTTTTTTTTTTTTTTTTTTTCTTTTTTTCCTGAGGAGATATCTAAGGTAGCTAGGGTATGAAAACAATTATCACGGTGACAAGACACAATTTTCAAGCGTATCAATCACATAACAATCATATGATCAAATTGAGAAAAATCTGATAATTTAACAAAACTTCACAAATATCTGACAATTAAAAACTGTATCCCACTGTTAACTTTTTTTTTTTTTTTAACATCCTACCAATTAACTCTTTTCTTTAATTGAGTAATTTGTAAGAATGATTTATAACAAGTTCCAAATTTGTTTAATCTAATTAATAGTCGTTGAATTTAATTGTTTTTATAGAAATTTGGGTGATCCCTAGCTAAATCTTAAAATTGACGGTAGACTTCGGAAGTTAAATTATGTCATATTATGAACACATGACGAGCAATAATTTCAAGATTATGACGTCATCAAATCTAGAGATAAAAATTTTCCGAACTAATAATTGGCCTAAAGAATTATAAAGATAAAATCATAATAGCTAATAACGAGGGTAAAAACTATATATATATATCTTTGTGATTTTTCCACTTTCTGATCCTTCAAATAGAGGGAAGATGGTGCATACTTCTTCACTCTTCAAGAACCGCAGTAAATCTTCCTCTTCTATATATCTGCAGATATAATCATTGCAGCAACATTGTCAAGAACGAGTAATGCCGATATGCTGGAGTAGAAAAGTAATCCGCATTAATAAAATTAATTCTGAAAGATATGCATCTATCTGTCTCTGACATTAACAATCCATCACATGTCAGCTGCCCTATATTTATCAATTATTGCAGCTATTTGCCAATCTTTGAGTGAAAGAGAACGCCCAAATTGAAAATGTGTAAAATATAGGCCGTGTTTGGAATTGATTCGTTTTTATTTTTTACGTTTTTTAATAAAAAAAAATGAAAACGTTTTTAAAACGGCGTTTTGTGTAATAAAAATAAATAACACGTCATAACTTTAATTCTGATGGAGATGATTTTT